ACAGAACAGGTAGACTGCCTGAAAACACTGCCGAATGGAGCAGTGGGCAAGACAGGAGAGGTCTGCTGCGCCATGTGGGTCACCTCCCTGGCCGGGGATCAAACTTGAGCTGCAGCGGCTGCAGATAGCTTCACAGTGCTGTGCTTAACCCCTTGTGCCACCAGGGAGGCCCCTCCATTGAACACTTTTTATACCTTCAAAATCTGATGATGATTCTGGAGGTTGATATCACTCTCTTTGTTCTTGTATTAATACAACCTAAGATCATATTTACCTTTGGGTGAGAAGGGGGCACTCTTAATAAAATTTCCAATGATTCTTTTTTTCTTTCTCACACCCCTAAGTAATCCCTCCTCCAAGAGCTTGTAGCACAAATTTGAATGGCTCCTGTCAGTGTTTATTGCATACATCTTGTGTTATCAGTTAATTTTTATAAATCTGAGCTCTCTACATGAAAAGGTTTCCTGCAGGTAAATATACTTTTTTTATTCATACTTTCCTTTAATAAGTATGTGAATGAATGAACATATGTTAAGGGAAAAAAGTGTTATTATATAATGCCCCTCCCAAAAAAACATCTCCATCACATGACCCCCTGTGACTATGCCTTGTTACCTGGTAGGAGGGGAATTAAGGTTGCAGGTGGAATTAAGATTGCTAATTATCTGACTTTAAAATAGAGAGACTAGCCAGGATTATTACAGGGTGTCTAACACTATTACAAGGCTTCTTTCAAAAGGGCAGGTAGAAGAAATCAGAGATCTGAAGATGTTACTCTGCCAGTTTTTTTCTATCAAATTTTATTGATTTATCTTTTATCTACAACTACATAATTTCAGGAGCACAGGATCATGCCTCAGTGTGTGTACATGTTTCCCTGGGCCTCCAAGCTCTAGTGCCAGTGCACTATCAAGAAAGCCCCTCTACCCTTCCTTCTCTCCTCTGCTAATCATAGTATTTTCCTGAGTCTAAGAGTTATTTTGTTATGTTTTCCCACTTTATTTATATTCCACAAGAGTATAAACATCCAATAATTTTCTTTCACTTGCTGACTTATTTCACTTAACAGACACCTCAAGATCCATCCATATTGTCCCCAAAATTACAATTTATTTTAATTTAATGCACAGAAACTAGTTGCTTACTAACCAGAAGACTCTTGTACATAATTTTGCAAAAGAATGAAGTTTTATTTTCTTTCTTCCTTGGACAATCTATTCTCATGAATTCAAATGAGAATGGATTATATTTACAGTGTTAAACGGGAAAAAAGAATTAAGAGACAAATGTCAAAGCACCTTTAACAGCCTCTGACCCACAGATGAGCCTCAATGTCAATTCTGTTTCTTCCTTATAATTTATTGATCCTACTAATTCCAAGTAAATTAATTTCAAAGAAGCAATCTCAATACTGGGATGGTAACAAAACCTGTATCTGTTGCTTAGGAACTTTATAATTACCTGATTTCCTATCCTGTGGGGAAGTAGGCGCTAAAGAGGAGCGTGAGCCAGCCTCTCTTCCCTCTGATTGCTGATTTTGGCATGGTTAGCATGGTAAATCACTAACCATCAGACCCAAAGCATCTCAGTCCCACATCCAGATCTATTTTAAGCTTTCTGGCTTGCACCACTGATACTGCTGGACTCTGTTGTCACAGCTAACCTCCAATACCCCCAAGGGTTTATTATCCGCCCACAAGAACACCAAGCTAATCTGGTTAAGCACTTGCTCCTTTCCTGGTTTATTCTAGGGCAAGAAATCAACTAAGTATTAAGGGTCTCATCCAGGAACTGCCTTTGCAGATTTGGTATCACAGAAAACATGTGTGTGGACAAAATAGGTATTTTTGCACAGCATTTTTTTGTACCTTACTATTTTTGAAGCCCCTTCTCTCCTTGCCACCCTTCTCTACAATAATCCTGAGTGGTTGCAGTGCGACTTTTCTATACCTTCTAATGTCAAAGTATCAACAGGTATTCTGGTGTCCAAAACAGCCTGTGGGGTCAGAGCAACAAAACTAAAGACCTACTCCTGCCCTGGCCAGAGGACCATGTGATAACAAACAGGACATTTAAAACAAGTCTTTTGATTGGGCAAATGGAGTCCCAACTAAAGACAGGAAGAAGCAGGCCAGAGGGGAATCAAGATTGCGATACTAAAGAATTTCATTGCAGGTACAAGCAGTTGGTTCCACTTCAGAAGGAGTTATGACCTTATGTCACTGAATCACACAACTTTGCAGCTAAAAAAAAAAAATGCACACCTCTAAATAAGTTTATTTCAAGACTATTACTTTGGGGAGATTTTATACCAATTCCAGAAATACCCTGGCATGGCCATTTATACCAGACAAGTTCTTTTTGCTATATTTAATGATGACAAATAAGTTTTTTGAGAGTGGGTATTTTCAGAAATAACCAGGTTATTCAAAACTAAGAATAAGATGGGGGAAATCAATACTATTTTGGTATAGAAACCAAGGTGGTAGCCATAGATAAACAAGTTGGAGTTTCCTGTGCAGAGCCAAAAACAATTTGAGAAGTAATTTTAAAAGTACTCTGAATGGCTGCTGGGGTGAAGTGAGGAGAGATGCCACCAAGGTGACACTTGGAAGAGGTCATCCATAAAGATGTGTGTGATCTGGAGTCACATTATTTTATTTGCACAATCATTAGGAAAATGTCTGCAGACAACAGACAAGCGTAGTATAAACTTCATTTCTGTGACCGGCTAGGAGGTAGTGATATCCATCATGAAATTACTTTAAACTGATACCGTAAGGTTTTAAGACTCTCTGGCCTATTAATAACTTACTAGTATCTAATTGCAGAACATATTATACTTGGGGGGTCTCCTAATTTCTAGGAGTGCTTGGTCTAAAACGGACACACTGGCCTGATATCTATAATATTGGTAATAGTTATTACATAGCCCTTGCTAGTTGTTATGTACTTATCATGCTATACATGATATCTATATCAACTCACTCAATACAACCCTGACAGAACTGAACAAGAAAGACATTGCCCAAGACCACTCAGTGAACTGCAGAGCTGGGGTTGGAATCCAGGCAGTCCACGGGTTGGAATCCAGGCAGTCCCCAGCAGCTGTACTCTTCTTTTCTGCTGTACCACCTGTAGGGTAAGCGAAAAACTATCAAGCTTTTCTGCCCTCCCGCCATTAGCATTAATGATGGATCCCTGTAATCCCACATGCATGCGTGATGGAGTAGGGTGTGGGTATGCATAGGTGGGCACACCTGGGCTAAGACTGGGTTTATAAAGATGGCCGAGGACAGCATGGTGTGGAGTTGCAGTCGAGTAAGGCCGAGTAGGGTGATGCCTCCTGGCCACCATCCCCTCCAGTGTACCTGGTAGAAGCTCAATAAAAGCCTGAAAAGCCACCGAGGGCTGTTGACTCTCCTTTACCGGTCTGCCTGGATCATAGAAATCCTGCTCTGTGCCTTCCTGCCCCTACACCACCCTATGCAGAAATCCAGATATATAAACCAGTTATGCAACAGGAAAAAGGACCATGGAGCATATTTACACATTTTATGGGAAGCTTATTTGAGAAGTAAAAAGGTGGGAGGGGTTGGACCCAGTGTAAGCTACCCTGAAGGCCAGAACAGGCAGACTAGAGTTGGATTAAATAAAAACACCCTTTAATTTATTGAGAAAATAAAGATCCAGGAGTTAAGAAGACAGTTTCTGAACTTTTTCATGTTCTACATAGTTTTTCCTTTATTACAGAAAAGTCAGAGAATGCAAGGTTAACAAAAATTAAAACCAAAGAACTGTTGACATGGGTTTTGCATCCAGCTCTCATCACTCTGTGAGATTTGTAGATATGCTTTAACTCAAAGTGAACTCACTAACACCGGGCAGGATAAATGCAGCGATCTACTATCACCTCCTAGGAAGCTTTCAGAAGCGTCTATCAACGATTCAGCTCCTGAAAAAGGGCAGAGACAAGAAACCCGGTTTAACCTAAAATGCTAGTGCCGCCCCAACCCTAATCTCATCTCACAAAAGCACAAACTGTTTCCCTGGGGATAGGACTAGGATGACGGTCCAGTGCTCACCCCACTTTCTCTAGGCTGCCTCCTTCCAGCTTTCCATTGGGGGAAAAGGAGATAACACTCATTTCAAAGCCTCAGAGAAGTAAGCACACAACTACTCTACAGGGGCAACAATTCCTCCATCCCAACTTCCTCACCTTGGGGCCTGAGAGGTGTCCAGGAAACAACAGAAAACATTCCCCAAGTCAATGTTCATAGCTTGTAAAGTATCAAATGAATGAGGCCACAGACACTCTCGGGTGGCTCTGCCTTCTATTCCAGGGTGGCGCCAAACGCGGGCGATTTTAGTTTTCCGTTGGGCTCGGAGCCGCGAAGCAGCCCGGGCCCCCCAGAGGCGCGTGGAGGGGAGAATCCGCCACCCGGACGGGCCGCGCCAAGGCCAGCACCCGCCGAAACGCCAGGGACTCGCGGAGGCCCACCCAGCCGGGAGCAGCTGGTGCCCGAGGCCCCAACCGTGTGGGGATGCTGGGGCGGGTCCAGGCGCTTCCTGCCGCCCCTGCCGGCCGCCAACCCAGTCAATAACCGCCAGCCCCGCCCGCCGCGGCTCCCCAGCGCCGCGGAACCCCACCTTCCACGCGCTACTAGGCGCGGTCACGTGAGGTAGGACGGAGGGGCCAATGAGCGACGCGCACCGAATGGAAGGGATTGTCTGACCTCTATGACGTCACAAAATTGGCGGCGAGCACGCCGCTCTTCCGCCCCCGCCCCCAAGGACCGCTTTCTTTCTCCCCGCCCACTGGCCTTTGTGCAGCCAATCGGGAGGCGCGGAGCTCTCCACCCCGAATCTGCGGGCGGGGCTGGGTGGCGGCGGGGCGGGATAGGGAAGCCGAGTGGGCCGGCCCGAGCCGGGGGCCGCGCTCCGGGGAGTAGCGCCGGGCTGCGAGGAGGGAGCGCCGGGCGGTGCCGCCGCCGCCTCGTCGGGACGCAGCGGCTCCTTCCCTGCCCTGCCCGGTTTGTATTCCCCTCTCCCGGCCCCTAACCGCCCAGTCGGGAATCCGTCTCCACCCGCCCGAAGTTGTGAGGGGGGCCCGGCGCGCGAGGAACGGCGGCCGCGGGCGGGCGGAGGGCAGAGGGCGGTGGGCGGGCCGGCGGCGGGCGAGGGACGCGCCCGGGAGCGCCAGGTGCGCGCGGGGGCGCGGGGGCTGTGGGCCGGCGGGCGGCCGCTCTCGGCGGGCGGCGGGCTCGGCTTGGGGGGCGGACCCGGGGCGCTGGCTGTCAGCACCGGGGCGCGGGGAGGACCCGCGGGGGGTGCGGCGCGGCGTCTCCGCCCTCTGCCTTCTCTGCCCTGGGGTCCGGGGTCCCCCCACAGGCAGCCGGTGCGCGCCCGCCCCCCGGCTTTCTGAACTGAAGCCGCGCCGCGTGGGGCCGGGCGGGGCGCACGGCTGGCGGAGGATGCCGCGCGCCTGTGGGCTGCGCGCCCGGGCTGGAGGCCGGGGCCGGGGCCGGGGGCGTCTCAGCTCGCGTCTCCGCGGACGGAGGCTCTGCCTCGGTCTCTCCCGCGGGGTGGGTTTGTTTGGTTTCCTTCTTCTCCCCACCCCTTTCTCTCTCTCCGTCCGCTTCCCTCCTCCCAGCTCCATTCACCCTGCTGGAGCGAGCCCTCGCCCCTCCTCCGCTCCCGCCTCCCCGCCTCCGCCTCCTCTAATGAGCATCTCCGCCTTGCTTTCGATGGGCCGGTGCTGCTGCCGCTGCTGCTGCCCGCGCGGGTTGTGGATGTTGTCGGCTCCGTGTTGTGATGACAGGAGAATGTGTGTGTGTCCCGGGCCCAGACGGATTGGTAGGTATTCACTTAACTACCTGCGTTGGGTACCCGGGAATGATGGTGACTGATTTTTGTGTGTGGATGTCTTTAGTGGGTCTGCGTGGAAATAGGGGATGAGGTAGCTAGGAAAAGGGGAGAAAGGCATCCTGGACTGGGATAGCTTTGATGCCTTAGCGAGTGCAATTTTCAGATAGGGACAAAGGAAACTAATCAAACAAGTGCTGGCTTGGGGCTTTGTTTCTTCCTTCATATAGAGATAACGGGAGCTGTGAAATGGCTGGGCATTTCCAGAAAATGCTGAAAAATTGCAAAGAGTCTGTATGCAGCGTGTTTAATGCAACCGGATTACATAAACTGAGGTTGACATTTTTAATGACCAGTGTAGCATTTTTTTTTTTTTCGTTTTCACCCAAAACATTGCAAATCGCAAGAGCTCTTTAATCAGTGCAGTAACGGTATTTTCTAATTAATTTGTTTGTGGGTTTATTGATGAAGTGGAATCATTTCTTGGCACAGGCTCTGCCAAGCCCATCCCTAAGAATGAATGGTTCTCTTTCCTATTTCGTGTTGCAGGACATCTTTCCTTATTAGTCATTGGCAAAATCGGCCAAATCTGCCTAGGAGTAAGATGCTGCATATAACATATTGGTCTGAATCATAGGATAGGAACTTTCAGTGATATTGTGGCCAGAAATAACTTGAAAATTTGACACTACTCCAGTTTTCCAATAACTGTACCTTGTTGCTGTCCTTACTGTCTAATTAAGAGCTTTTCATGTCATTCATTTAGCTAGTTTATTAGCAGAAGTTTTGATTACATGGGGTTTTGTTGTTGAATCACAGAATATTCAGAAAGAGTCTCAAGAGTTTTTGAATGCTGAGCATTCACTTGTAGTGAGCATTCAAAGCATTTGAATGAAAGTGTTTGAAAAGTACTTTGACTTCTAAGGGTGTCTGACCCCATGAACGTAATTTATTATGGGTATTTGTTTGTGATGATAGAACACCTGTTAATCACAGAGCAGGTTTTCATAAATTTCACCTTCTTTAGAATGTGTCTTTTGACACGTTGGGAGTTGTGGTATTGGGATAAGTTCTCAGTCCGGTTGTTAAGCTCCTAAATAACTAAAAGATACTGTTGGCAAAATTCATTCTTTTTTGTTTTTAATCTCAAGAATTTTCCTTGAAAGAAAAGTGTAGAATATAATGAATATTTTAGTATGTTTCCTGTTTGAATTTGATTTTCAAATGTCTGCTGCATGAACCATCAGTTCTTTTGCCACAAATTTTCATTGGTTTTTCAGTCCACGACAAAAGCAGAAAGATAGTCAAACAAAAGGACTGGAAGGAAAATGGACATTCCCTAGACTGTTTATTCCTTGATTAGATATCATATAACCAAACCAGCCCCTCCACACACACACACACACACACACACACACACACACAGAGTAGTACTTTGATTCAATCTATGTTCCATACAGAAGCACATTTTTTTCCCCTGTAAGAGACTTAAGTTTAAAAGTAAGTACAAATAACAGGGAAAAATTCTTTTTATAAAAATTGACATTTGTTTATATTTTTAATAGAATCTTGATAAGCATGAAATGAGTAATGTGCTTGTTACATGCAAAACTAACGAGAGATGTGATTTGTCTGGAAGCCAACACCATGTGACCCAACATTTGAGCACATCTCCTGGCTCAGTCATGTACACTTAACCTTTGGATGACTTTCAGGTATTCAGTTTGCAGTGCTGTTATTTAAGTGGCTAGTCTTTATACATTCCTGTTATTCTAGAATTTTTATTTTTCATTACTGCATTTCAGAATACTAATTCAGTTATTGATCTCATTTCCACAATTCAAATCACTGCCTTCTATTGTTTAATCTTGTCTTCAATTTTGTAATCAAGTCCCTTCTTAAATAATGTATTTAAAATATTGGTGCTTCTTGTCATTTGTAAAAGGGGTTCTTTATAATTGGCTTACGCAGTGCTTTGTGACAGAAGCAAACAAGAAGCAGGTATTTGGTATTAGGTTTTCTCTTCTATCACTTTCCAAATTTCTCACATCCCACTATCACTTTCCAAATTTCTCTTCAAAAGGGAGTATGTGAAAATATAGCTAACTCTCACTATTTGTAAATTTTTTTCTTAATGGGTTCATCCTTTTGGAAGGAATAGCTTATATTAAGACTCAAGTGGTTTTATTTCCTTAACTCCTTTTTGTTTACTACATTTGTTATTTAAAGTATTTCTCAATGCTGTTTCCTTATAGGGCAAATTGAATACTTTGAAACAATAACTGATAATTCATGGGAAATATATCTTACTGAGGAAAAAGAGGTATTTTTTTTCTTGGATAAATTATCTTGGAAGTAATACACGTTCATTAAATTTTCTAGATAAATGCCCAGCAAAATATTTTCATTGTCATAGTGAGTGATAATGACTTTTATTCATGATCATAATGTATCATTTCTATCCAAACCCTGTACTGTTGGACCACTATTTCACTATTCTTTATTGTTTTCTAAGAGCAAGTAGATACTTTTTTAAATGTAAAATATTTTTTTGGGGGGGCCTCCCTGGTGGCGCAAGGGGTTAATACGCCACACTATGAAGCTATCTGCAGCCACTGCAGCACTAGTTCCAACCCTGGCCAGGAGGTGACCCACATGGGGCAGACCTCTCCTGTCTTGCCCCCTTCTCCCCTCAGCAGTGGATTTCAGTCAGTCGTCCTGTTCTGCTCCCCACTCTGTCTCTGGTGAATCCTCCCCCCCACACACACACACCTCTGGCCTGCACCTCAGCTCTTGTATGCATAAATAAATAAATCTTTAAAAAAATGTAAAATATTTTTTAGTTGTAAATTCTACTTGGGATCCATAAAATCCATGAAATAATATTTCTTTAACTCTCCCTTATGATTGATAAGCAGAGAAAATGTTAGCAAGTAAATTAAATTCCAGAACTGAAACCATTTATGCTACTAACAAAGTTTTAAAGCTACTAGGATACTTACATTTTTATTGTAAAAGGCACGGTAAAGTTAAACAGTGAATAAATGAAACTTGCATTTGATTTCAAAGCCTCACTTCAATAAACACAAAGGTCTCTAAGAGGACTTCGATAGCATCTGCTTCAGCGTGTTCACTTACAGCTTAAGATAGGGAGGTCCAAAGAGGTAAACTACTTTTCCAGGATTATTTGGCAACTTGGTGGCTGGACCTATATTTCTAAGCTCACCAGCTTTACATAGTGTTTAGAGAATATTGTTTATAATACCATCCACTGGAGTGCAGGAAAGGGAATATTGGAGTTCTTGTTTTTGTTATATAACTTTTCTGTATATGTTATAATGAGCATTATATTAATACAGTAGTGTCTATATAATTTACCAATAATTCATGAATATACATATTTAATGTATATATAAAATATACATAACACTGCATCATAACAGTTTTTTGGTGATAGCCATCTACAATCAAGTGCTAACAATTGACCACAAGTCTAGAAACCACAGGTCTAGGATTTTCATAAATAGGGGAAGTATCCTTTTTAAGGCATATAGAGGGAGAGTGATTGGCCAGGTAGACTGCCACTGCATCATGTTATATAATCATCTTCATCTCAGCTTTCCCCAGCCAAATCTGTTCTACATTCTGCAGTTTGTGCTGTACAGAAAAATGTGAAGAAAGAAAAGTAAAGCTAGACTATAGGTCAGCCCTGGCTCCATAGATGGTTGGTAATTGACTATGCACTGTGGGGGTAGTACCTGATACCTGCATAAAATGTAGTACCTCACAGCACAGAGTTTATTTAGCATGTAGATTAACCTGCTGAGTATTTGTCACAAAGGCAAAGATAGATTAAGTAATATGAAATGTAACTCTTATTGTGTATGTATCTATGTAATTTGCTGTCTAGGAATCCCAGTCAGAAGTTCCAGCCTGCCGCTCTTCTCTGATGCCATGCCAGCACCAACTCAACTGTTTTTCCCTCTGATCCGTAACTGTGAACTGAGCAGAATCTATGGCACTGCGTGTTACTGCCACCACAAACATCTCTGCTGCTCACCCCCTTACATTCCCCAGAGTCGTTTGAGATATACACCCCATCCGGCATATGCTACCTTCTGCAGGCCGAAGGAGAACTGGTGGCAGTACACGCAAGGAAGGCGATATGCTTCCACACCACAGAAATTTTACCTCACACCTCCACAAGTCAACAGCATCCTGAAAGCTAATGAGTACAGTTTCAAAGTGCCAGAATTTGATGGCAAAAATGTCAGTTCTGTTCTTGGATTTGACAGCAATCAACTACCTGCAAATGCACCCATCGAGGACCGGAGAAGTGCGGCAACCTGCTTGCAGACCAGAGGGATGCTTTTGGGAGTTTTTGATGGCCATGCAGGCTGTGCTTGTTCCCAGGCAGTCAGTGAAAGACTCTTTTATTATATTGCTGTCTCTTTGTTGCCCCATGAAACTTTGCTAGAGATTGAAAATGCTGTGGAGAGTGGCCGGGCACTACTGCCCATTCTCCAGTGGCACAAGCACCCCAACGATTACTTCAGTAAGGAGGCATCCAAGCTGTACTTCAACAGCTTGAGGACTTACTGGCAAGAGCTTATAGACCTCAACACTGGGGAGTCAACTGATATTGATGTTAAAGAGGCTTTGATTAATGCTTTCAAGAGGCTAGATAATGACATCTCCTTGGAGGCGCAAGTCGGTGATCCCAATTCTTTCCTCAACTATCTGGTGCTTCGAGTGGCATTTTCTGGGGCCACCGCTTGTGTGGCCCATGTGGATGGTGTTGACCTTCATGTAGCCAATACTGGTGATAGCAGAGCCATGCTTGGTGTTCAGGAAGAGGATGGTTCTTGGTCAGCACTTACTCTCTCTAATGACCACAATGCTCAGAATGAAAGAGAACTTGAACGGCTGAAATTGGAACACCCAAAGAATGAGGCCAAGAGTGTGGTGAAACAGGATCGACTTCTTGGCTTGCTGATGCCTTTTAGGGCTTTTGGAGACGTTAAATTCAAATGGAGCATTGACCTGCAAAAGAGGGTGATAGAATCTGGTCCAGACCAGTTAAATGACAATGAATACACCAAGTTTATTCCTCCTAATTATTATACACCTCCTTATCTCACAGCTGAGCCAGAGGTAACTTACCACCGCTTAAGGCCACAGGATAAGTTTCTGGTGTTGGCTACTGATGGGTTATGGGAGACAATGCATAGGCAGGATGTGGTTAGGATTGTGGGTGAGTACCTTACGGGCATGCATCACCAACAACCAATAGCTGTTGGTGGTTACAAGGTGACTCTGGGACAGATGCATGGTCTCTTAACAGAAAGGAGAGCCAAGATGTCCTCAGTATTCGAGGATCAGAACGCAGCAACCCACCTCATTCGCCATGCTGTGGGCAACAATGAGTTTGGGGCTGTCGATCATGAACGCCTCTCTAAAATGCTTAGTCTTCCTGAAGAGCTTGCTCGGATGTACAGAGATGATATTACAATCATTGTAGTTCAGTTCAATTCTCATGTTGTAGGGGCATATCAAAACCAGGAATAGTGAGTGGATCTTACCCTAGCAATTCTCAAAAGATTTAAAGGGCATATTGATTTTTAAAAGATAGTAACATAATAAACATTGCCAGTGGGTCATTCTAAGCATTTACCCATTTGCTACTCTAGCTAGTCAAGTATTTCGTATTGACTTTGCAGCAGAATGGCAGGATCCTGAAAGTCTCATTCTGCCTGAGTAGGACCTCATAGCACCTGCACTTGAGGCAAGTCAGTTCCTTATTGCTGTTGTCTTGTGACATTGACTTTTATTATCACTTTGAGAAAATCAGGATGACCTGGCAAACAGGATCTTGAATGAGCCAAAAGCAAGGATCTTGCTGGGCATATTCTTTCGGTAAAAGGGAAGAAATATTACTGTTCATGCCACCCTATCATCACCAAGATTCCAGTGTACATGAGGACCTTTATTGCATGATTTCCTAGATATACAATCTATGCATTATTCATATAAAATTATTTTAACCTGAAGTGGTTTCCAAATCCTAGACTTTAAGCCATAAATGACCGAGAACCAAGCAATCTAAATATGTATTGTATTTATTTGACTGGAATGGTTGTTAAGTGGAAAAACAAACTATTCCCATCCCTGCTCCTGACTGCCTAATTGAAACATTTCCTATTTTGCCACACACTTGAAGACAATAAAGGTTTTTAGTTTACTCTTATATTGATACTAAAGAGAGGGAAAAAAGAATTTTTTTAGCCTGTATTAATAAAAAGCTTTATTTATTTAGTTTGAAATAAAAACCAGACTAAAAAAAAGAGACTGACATATTCACTTATTGCCATCTATAGCCACCAGCACATCACTCTTATGTAATCCCCAAAGGGTTCGCATGCTCTGAGTGTGTGGTGAGTAGACTGCTGCCAGAAACTCATACTTCTAATTTTGTAGTGATAAGTATTTCATCACTCTTGAAATTTTAAGATGACATACATAAAATAAGTTTAAATATCAAACTGGGAAATAAAGCTTAATATTACCTTTTGGGTGTTCAGACAGGGGAGGAAGTTTTTGTTTTTCCCCACTTAAACATAGGTCAGTTAAAATACTTGTTTTAAAAATTATGAAGTGCTTTAGATACCTTGTAGTTTATAAGTATGAACGTTAAGATATAAATATATATGTATGAGAAAAATTTAAAGGTAACTATGGTGCATGCCTGATGCTTAATAGAACACTTAGTAGTATCGTGTTGTTTGCAGCAGTTTCCATAATTATATGCTGTATCAAAGTAAATGAAAATATATTCATATTGGCTTTTTGAAAGCTTATTTGATATGCATCAAATGGTATTTTTTTCCTGTGTACAGCTGTGCATATCTTTTTGTCACTTATTCTAGTATCACTGTTAAAAGAATGACTCTGTTTGCTATTTGTATAGATTTTAATACTACACATGATCAGTTTTCCTTTGTTTAGTTGAGGGTTATTAGGAATCCTTTCAGATTTCTGTGGGATGTGAACTAGGTATTCAAGCACTCCCCCTGGACTGTGGACACAGAAGCACTGTAGAATTGGCTGTAAAATCTGTTTCATTTGAAAATAGACACAGGAAAATTGCAGCTCAGAACATCATATAGTATTTTTTTCTGAGGTCTAGTTTTTTGTTTTAATTTTTTTTCCTTGAGTCAGCTTGAAACTTTCTTCCAGGCAGTATTTTGGAAAGGGAAAGGCTATACTATGTATTTATTTATAAATGTTTTGACAGAGGCTTCATTTTTAAATGAAATATATATAAACCACAATAACAAAACCCATTTTCAGGCTACAATTTGAATTTCTCTTCAACACTACCACTGAAAAGCTCCATATTCTATATTTATAAAATTTCTATGTAGTACAGTATATAGTTTCCTGTAATCATGAACAAGTTAGTAACTCTTATTATTACACAAGAAAGTTTGTCTACAGTTTGAAAGCTGATATATTCTCTCTGGAAGTGAAAATCTAGTGTGGAGTTGACATTGTGGGAATAAAAATAATTGGATGTTAGAAATTTGAATGTATTATCTGAATGCAGTTGTGATTTTATTGTATGTAATTGGTTGTCACTGTAATGTGATATCTAGAATTAAAGAATACATGTAAACTTTCATGGTATTTAGCCTTTCTTAAGCTTTTAAAAAATGTTTAAACTTTCTAATATGTATCAACCTCTGTATTTATATTTAATCAGTAGATCATGATATTTATGCCATTAACTGGTTAATGGAACAGTAGTATGGCACACAGTTCTTGGAGGAAACCTGTGTCTTATAAAGATGAATCTATATGAAAACATAAAAAGTTTATTATAATATATAGTGAATGGTAAGAGAAACATCCACAGTGAATTAAAGCTTCATATCTGCTTTCTGAATGACCTGTGTTGGTTTTTAATAGTGCCAAGAGTCAACAAACTCTTTCTGTAGTGATAAAATATACTTAACTTTAGGCTCCAGTAGATAAGCTCACTTTTTTTTCTCTTAAGCTGAGATATACATTCAGTGAAATGCATAGATTTTAAACATGTAGTTTGAATTTTTGGTAGAGATTGAAATTTGGTAAACACAACTCAAATAAAGATACAGAACATTTCTATTGCTTCAGAAAATTCCCTCATGCTCCTTTCTCCACATAACTTGTCTGACATCTGTCTCCATTGGTGTTACTTTTTCTAGAAAGTCATAAAAGTGAAAGTAAAATATGTCCCTTTTTGTGTCTGACTATTCAATTTGTTGATATTTCATTTGTTATTGAGTGTATCCTAAGTCTATTATTACCAAGTAGTATTCCTTGAATATACAATTCATCCATTGTTGGTGGGCATTGTCATTAGCCCCCTCCCTTTTGTCTTTTAAAGATAACTATCTTAGATTAGCAATTCTCAGGAATACTACTTGTAGAGTATCTTTCACTTTGCAAATACAATTACAGGTGAGTTTTATGTTCTATAATTTATGGCAGGATTTTTTTAATGGCCGGAATTGTTTAAACAAGTAATAAATTTTTATGGTGAAAATTTGGAGAGTTTATGAAGTAGTTCTCAGTATGTCACTGAGAATTTTGTTAAATAATTAAGATCGCTAGATCAACGATGAATATCTTACAAGAAAAAGACAGACTACAACTTGGTTTTTGATGGTCTTAGTTTATCACTCCATCTGCCATGATAAGAGGAAGGAAGTGGATTAAATGCTGACTCTTTAAGCAGGATAGGATGGCTGACTGACTTGAGTATTTCTGTTTTTATTAAACAATATTAACACTGCCTAGAATGAACTTCCCTATTCGCTAATCAAGCAGATGTGTGAATATGGGTTATTAACTTTGTCCTTGGGTATAGCAAGAGGGCCTAGGTGATATGCACTCCTTAGCCTTAGATTAACATACCTAACTCTGACCTATTTCATAAAAAAAAAAAAAAAAAAATAGAATTTTTCAGTCTTGGACAATAAGTGAAGACATTAATGGTGTTTGAATTGACTTGTTACAGTATGAAGGTCATTTCCTTTGTTTCTTTAAGTATTTACTTTGGAAGCCAAGCTTAATCCTATTAAATCCTGTCTGCATGGTTCTCATGACAAAATTTATACCTTGGATTAAATCCTAACAACATACAACATTGTTTTCTAAATAGCTCTCAAATTACAAGTCTCCAAAGTGAATATATTAAGAATGATGAAATTTATGCATTTCGTGTGCTATTAATAATCCAATGCTCATATTTTAAGGGACAACACAATCTTTAGGTTCATAAAGTATGCACATGTTGATGTTAAATTGTTCTGATAATTTTTACTTTATCTTGTTTATCTAAGATGTTCAGTTTTTTGAGGGTAAAGCCCATGGATTTCAGTTCTATCTTTGAGTCAACAATTACTGAATAAAAAATGTTAAGCATTTACTTTCTCTTATACAATCTTTTACTTTCCCTTATACAATCATTTACTTTCCCTTATACAATCTTTTTTTAAAAAAAAACCTAATTGAAATTTAAAGATATATTTTCTCTGTCTTCTGTTAGAAGTTAAAATCTCAATCCAGATGCAGAAAATTAATGTTGCTATAGTTTCATTTTGTAGTAAAGATAAAATGAGCTCTAAAGTTTGAACTAGTTTCCTATTGTAAACTAATTTAAAAGGGAAAGTTAAAAGTGCCATCTACAAATTGACCTGTAGAGAAGATGGCTTGCTAAATTCATTAGGAGAGACCTAAAAATTCAATTGTCAAGTGAGTCAATTGGACCCAAAAAGTCAATTTAGTTCACCCAATAGAACTTTGCTAAATGGTCCCCATCTATCTTGAGGTTTCTTATGCATGGCAGATGTGTTCCTTTGAGGGCCTTCTAAGAACTGTTAACTGCTATTTGGAAGTATCTCACATCTAACTCCAAAAGGTTCATCTTACTGTCCCCAAGGGTGATGGGGGGAGAGTTTTCCATATAAGACCCTGTCCCGGAGTCACACTGCTCTGCTTTTCTAAGACATACCCAATCACTGACTGACTTTTCCTCCACCAAACTGCACAAATTTTACTGCAGTGCAAGGAAGTTAGTGATCACATTTAGCCTTTCAGAAGCCCCATACCCTGGGCACTAATCCACAAACAGGCAGCCCAGGAGAGTCAAAGAACCAGTGATTTTATGTCGCCTGTGGTGGTTAATCTGTTAGTTGCCTTGACGGACAGGAACAGTTTGATGGGCTGGCAGTGTTGACTAAGAGGCCAGCTTCTTGCTTGAAAACTCAGAATGGGAAAGGGGACAGGAGACCCAAGAGGAGAGGCAAGGAAGAGAAAGTCTCTGGCAATCTCTGTGGTGACTGCCGGCATTCAGGCAGTCACGGGGACAGGGAGCATCAGCCCCTCTGGCGCTTTGGAACAGTGACAGATGAAAGCACAGCAGAGGAAAGACTGCAGGGAGCTGAATATTGGCGTAGTAAAGTATTTTAGAAAACATTTTTTAAGCCCCTGTGAAATGTATTTTATGCTAAGGGCAGCAGTTGGAATGCAAGACGGTTTCCATTAGCACCTCCTTTTGTCTGAGCTCCTCACATGAGAGGAAAGGAAAATACCCATATGGAAAAGGATTTGGGATGCCCAGATGGACACTTTTCTCAAAAGTACTTAGCTTAGAAATTCTTTTACTTGCTCCACCCCTGGTAACGGGTTAAACTAATTTAGCCTGGTGAAAACGGACTGGGTCATAAAGCCCCAGTATTAGGAGAAACAGCTGTGAGACTGAGCAGACCACAGAGGGCGCATTCCTAAAGGAAGGTCTTGTGACCAAGTCAGATTCCTGTGGCTTTTGCTTAAAGGGACTAAGGTGCATCAGGTATAGCCAAATACTCACTGACCTTACAGCCATGGCAATACAGACTGGTAGTGACTGTTCCTGAAGCATTTACTTGTGCCTGGTCCTGTAAAAAACTACATTTTCTCTTTTGATCCTTGTGCTTACTAGTCTCTTAGGCCCTTCAACCCCTTCTCTAAAATCACCTCTGCTCTTTTCTGTGTACCAGGAAGTGGAATCCTAGACTTCACCTTCCAGGCTTATTTGCATCCTGACTGCTGTTTCTGTTCAACCAATGGAGAGCAGCAGCAGGCAATTCGAGAGTGGGACAAGAGAAACACTAGGATACATCCATCCATCCTCATTTCCTTCACGCTCTGGGCTGCATCTCCAGCCTTAGCTGTGTCTCTCCACTCTACAGTGCCCTTGGGTCCACCCTTATTCCCCCCCTATCTTGGACACAGTTTTCTGTGGGCTCAAGTAACACTATTCATCTCTTTGTCCTTTCAGACTTACAGATCATAATTGGCTTCCTACTGTTGCTAGCCTCTGCCTGACTCCTTTATCTTTGTTCACACCTCTGTAAACAGTTTATTTGAAATCAGGTCTGCCGGGACCTGACCAATACAACCCTCAAAAGAAGCTCCAGTACTATTTCCCCTTTTTTACCAAGCACAGAGAGCCTAGCTAACTTGTCCTACATCACACATCAAACAAACCCAAGTATGTCAAAGCCTGCATGCTTAGACACTACATCACACTGCTCAGCCCCTCTGTGTAACCAGAATGATTTCTTTAGAACTGACGTAGAACTGTCAAATGGCCAATAGGTAAGTGACCCCTTGAGAAACAGTGACAAAGCTCCTCAGAAGCAGCAGCAAAGATTCATATAGCCCAGAAGTTAGTCTAGCACATACAGAATGGAGCTATCTAGAGATGGATAGAGTACACCAGCTGAAGACATACTCAGGATTGTCGCTTTAGGAGCAAGAACCAACGGAGTCTCTATTGGCAATGCACTGCATTACCTAGATACGTGATTTCTCAGTTCCCCACCTCATTTGTTGAAATATTCAGAGAAATTTATTATAATCTAAGCAATGAGGATAGGTGCTAGGGGCAAAATGTAGAGTCTGCTTTCAAGGTGCTCACAGTTTGGGACCATACACATGTAAAAAGATACCCTTAAGATGGTTCAAAATTGAAACAAGTTCCAACAATTAAAAAAAAAAAAATGGTGTGCCACAGTTATAGCGCAGACCCTGGAAAATCAGGGAAATTTTTTGGAAATTTTGAGGAGAGAGATGAAAAGTAGAAAAGAATTTGTTTGCTGAAAAGACCCAGGAATCACATTTCTGGAAGGAGAGCATGTGTCAAGGCACAGAAACACCACAAACCGTACTGTGTATTTGAGGATCTCTGACGTCTCTAGTTCTATGACTGAACCCATGCACTGTGAGGGAGGAGATGAGGTATAAAGGTAGGAACTGCAGAAAAAGGCTATATGTACACACATCGTTAAGGCAGCAGCCTGCAGCCAGCATGCCTTCAGAGATCGAAGTACATGAGAAGGCAAAAGACAGCCAAGACAATCAAGGAATGCAAGAGTTGGTGGGGGTAGGAGAAGTACAAAACAAGGTCAGCCAGAGTCATGCCGGGCTGAGATCTGGCTTCTAGCCACTTGTAGGTGGAAGACTTGACTAAATCAAAATGAGAAAGGATTGGTAGTTAAGCAAGAGAATGTCTGTGTGACTTACGTGTTGCCATTAGTCATTCATGTGTCTGTAGGCACATTTAGTCACCTGGTATGTAAACCTAATATACTTAGTTCAAACACAGTCATATTTTCGTTCCTTTCAATTTCCTGGTTACCATAGTGCGTGATCACTGAACTCTCTGAGGTATGGGGCAACTTGACAACTTGACTTGGGTCACCTAAGCAGTCATCCTTCAAAGTCTTGGGTCATTATACCTGGATTGAATTGCTAGCCACCAGGTTGTTCATTCCAGCCTTGCTTCCTCCTTGTTTTAGGTATGTAGACTTCGTGATCACTAGCCAAAAATAGTTCCCAGTGATCCCTGCCTCCTGTGTTATCTAATCCCAGAATTGATTTCTGCAACCAGTAGTGAATCAGGCCTGGGAGTCTGGGTGTTGAAGCTGGACCTCAAAGGGCTCTCACTTCTTGTTTCTGTGCAGAAGGAGTTCAACATCAAGGCCAAAGTTAGGCAAAAAAAGCAAGAAGTTTATTGGCACACTGAGCAGAGAGAAGTCCGGAATGGGTTGCTGCTGAGAAGGCAAGAAGTAGGTGATTATGTGGATACAGTGGGCAAGGAGTGGGGGCAGCGTTCCGCCATTGGGTGTCTCAAAGTTGTGTCTTTTGCTAATTGGTTGAGGACCATGGGGTATCCAAGGTTACTGAGGCCCACTGAGTCTCCCAGGTTACCTGGCCAGCTTTCCCAAAACAGCTTTGGTCCATTGCTTTAGCATTGTGTTATTGTTCTGAACATTCAATTTTTACTGAGTTAGGGTACCCTGACTCCAATTGATTGTTTCTCATTCAAATTGATAGATGGACTTGGGACACCGGGGCTTGGGGGCACCCTCCTCGTTCCAAACGATTGTTCCTTATTCAGTTTGATAAATGGGCTTGGGGGCCTGGGAAACACTGATCCTAACTAACTACCTGTACCCATTTCCTAACTTCCTCATTCAGTAGAACACCACGGATGTAATGGCATGTCTCCCCTGAGATTAGCTTATTAGATGTTACAGCTGCTGTCTTAGTGGCTCTCACTCTCTAAAATCACTTATTCTGTGAGCAGCCTTAATGAGATGGCTACATGAAAAGTGTGTCCCAAGTGGACCCCTTCCTAGAAATTATTTTACCTCTTGGTGACTCAGATTCCTCATCCCTAAAATGGAGATAACAATGATTCCTTCTTGATAGGATTTTTTGGTAAGGATTCTATAGACTAATGTATATAAAGTGCTTTCAATAATAGTCTTAATAATACCCTTCTAGATTCTTTGATATGTATATATGAATTTAAAATCAGATTGTATTGTGAATATGGATTTGTAACTTGATTAGCCCACTTAATAATATGTGACAAATGCCTTTTTAGATATACCATGTTCATAGACTATAAGAATTATTATTGTTAAAATGTCCATACTACACAAAGAGAACTACAGATGAATGCAACACCTATAAAATTCCAATGACATTTTTCATAGAACAGAAAAAACACTCACCAAAATCATACAGAACCACAAAAGATCCTGAAAGGATGAGACACCCTCATCAGGTGGGATTTATTTAAGGATGTAACATACACAAATCAATTGATGTGATATATCATATAAAAAAATGAAGGATAAAATTCCAATAATCATCTTGATAATGGAGAAAAATAATTGTGCAAGATCCAGCATCCATATATGATACTTCTCCATATGAAAGACATGTAAATAAGCACATGAAAAAAAATCTCAACATAATTAGTATCAGAGAAATGCCAATCAAAACCCAAATGAGAGGGGGCGGAGCAACATGGCGGCGAGGAGACGCTGCGAGTAAGATCTCCCATTAAAAAAAGTTAATAGGGAGGAAAAGCGGCAGGTCCCAGTGAGAACTGGGACACGGAAGATAAACAGGTGACTCCAGCAAACTACCCGAAGAAGAAAGTGGCCATAAAAGAGGACTAGAAGGGAGGGAAGCGCAGAACCCTGCTCCCCTCCCCCACCCACAGAGGCGGCACTCTCCGACCGGCAGAGAGGAGGAAAACAACAAACCAAAACGGCCAACAAGAACAAACTACGCAGCAAGCGGGACCGTGAGTGGAAAGGAACTATTGCAGCCACCACACCCCGTGAACGGGAGCTGAGGCGAACCCTGCAGGATTCGCCGCGGTGGTGAGCGAACGGCTCCAGGCGCCATTAGAGAAGAACAAAGACCCCGGGAGACGCGCACACAGCCCGGGCTGCCGGTAAGCTTGCGCGGAAACGCGGCGCGCTCGGGGAGCTTGAAAAGCAAGTGCAGACCGGAATCGCGGCTGCCCAGGCACCCGCGCCTGCGACCTAGGCTTGCGGGGAGACGACCTAGGCTTGCGGGGAGACGCGCGGAGGTCCTCACTGAGGTGAAGGTCCCTCCCTGAGTGAGCAGGAACCAGGCACCCGGGCACGGGAGCGGTGCAAAAGGCGCCATTCCTGCGCCACTGAACTGGGCTACAGCCCGCGTCCTGGAACTGAGGGCTTTGAACTGAGACCCGGGGCACGAAAATTCGGGGCGTGGGTTCTCCACGACGGTGGGGCACAAGGCAGACACAGCACCCCAAAGCTGTTGAGGTTACCCTACCATTCCCGCTCTGTTCCCTGTCCCACGGGGTGGGGGGGACGAAAAACAGCCCCCCAAGGACAATAGGAGAGATCTCTGGCGCCACCTAGTGACCAGGAAAAAAAAAGTCACTAACACCCCATAGAACAGGAAATTTCTTAAGACTGCTTGAAAAGGGCAGAAGGCTTCTGCAGTGGCCAGCCGGGAAGTTATTCCACGCCAGGCCCCTTCCGACCAGCAGTCTGAGCCCACAGAGGGAGCAGGCACCCACGTCCGGGGCAGACCGGGGGCGCAGAAGAGTGTGCCTGAAACCGGAGGCGCAGGGACTGCATCCCGCTTCGCCATTTGAGAACAGGGACATTTCTTCAGTAAAAACTGCCTAAAACCAGCAGAAAGCTCCCCCAGAAGGCAGAGATGGCTCCTGGAAGAGCCAGAGGGGAGCGGAGAAGTTCACCCAAGATGCCAGTCAGTCCGAGCATCACAGTGTCCCAACGCATACGACAAATTAGAAAACAGACAGTAGGGAGTAGAAGAACCACACGCAACCTAACAACTCCTCAGGAAAGAAGCACACCACAAAAAGAAAACCACTCCCCAGATTGCAACGACAGCAACTTGGAAGAACTTCTGAGCCTTCCAGAAAGAGAATTTAAAATTGCCATGATTAAAAAAGTGATAGATCAGAAGAAGGAAATTGAGTCCCTAAAGAGGGAAAACAATGGTCAGAAGAATGAAATTGAGTCCCTAAAGAGGGAAGTAAAAGAAATGCAGGAGATCAAAGAATTAATGGAGGAACTAAAGAACTCCGGGAAAAGCAAGGAAAGCAGAATAGATGAAATGGAAGAACGAATAAGTTCTCTTGAAGACACAGAAATAAAAAGAACCAAAACAGAAAAGGAAAGAGAAGTACGAAGGAAAAAGAATGAAGAAAGACTTCGAGAACTATCTGACTCCATGAGGAAAGGAAATATAAGAGTTATAGGAATTCCAGAAGGAGAGGAGAGAGATGTAGGAACAGAGAAAATATTCCAGGAGATAATTGAAGAGAACTTCCCAAATGCGAAGAAGGAGCTGAAAATTGATATACAAGAAGCAAGAAGAACACCAAACTTCCACGACGAAAGGAAAAACACAGCAAGACACATAATAGTAAAGCTCCCAAGAATCCAGGACAAGGAAAAAATAATGAAGCTGACAAGAGGGAAGAAACAGATAACATTCAAAGGAAAACCAATCAGGCTGACATCAGACTTCTCTGAAGAAACACTACGGGCAAGGAGAGAGTGGAGGGACATAGTCAACAGACTCCAAGAAAACAGATGCCAACCAAGAATACTCTATCCCGCAAAGCTCTCTTTCCTCCATGAAGAAAGAATATGGACCTTCCCAGACAAAGAGAAACTCCGGAATTTCATTACGAATAAACCCCCACTCCAAAAAATACTACAAGGAATCCTAAAGCCAGAACCTCAGAGGGACGAATAACAACGAAAGAAGACCAAAAAAAAAAAAAAAAAGTTATTAAAAGAATAAATAAAATCAAAGGAAAGACAAACATAATGGCAAATACAGATGCTAACATATCAATATTAACTCTAAATGTAAATGGACTAAACTCTTCAATAAAAAGACACAGAGTTGCAGCCTGGATTAAGAAACAAAACCCAACCTTTTGCTGTCTCCAGGAAACACATTTAGCTACAAAAGATAAAAATAGGCTCAAAGTCAAAGGATGGAAAACAATCCTACAAGCAAATGGGCCAAAAAAGAAAGCAGGAACAGCTATACTTATATCAGATAAAACAGACTACAAACTCAAAAAAATAAAAAGAGACCCCAATGGTCACTACATTATGATTAAGGGGACAATACTTCAAGAAGAAATAACACTCATTAACATATACTCACCAAACGAAAGAGCACCAAAATATATCAGACAACTGTTGTCCTCTCTGAAAACAGACATCAGAGAAAACACATACGTAGTGGGAGACTTCAACACACCACTATCAACAATGGATCGATCAACAAGACAAAAAATAAGTAAAGAAACTAAAGCTCTAAATAAGGACCTAGAGCATTTGGGCTTAACAGACATCTATAGAACACTAAACCCAAAAAAAACGGAGTACACATTTTTCTCAAGCGCACACGGATCATTCTCCAGGATCGATCACATACTGGGGCACAAGACAAACATCAACAGATACACCAAGATTGAAATCATACCAACCATCTTTTCTGACCACGAAGGCATCAAACTAGAAATAAATCATAAAAAGAAGGCAAGGAACTATCCTACCTCATGGAGATTAAAAGCCACACTACTGGAAGACCACTGGACTAATGAGGAGATCAAAGAAGAAATTAAAAAATTCTTTGAATTGAATGACAAGGAGGACACCAATATCCTAAATGTATGGGATGCAGCAAAAGCAGTAATAAGAGGAAAATATATAGCAATAGAAGCTCACATCAAAAAACAAGAAAGAACTCAAAGAAACAACCTAATCTCGAAGCTCAAAGATCTAGAAAAAGAACAACAAAAAAACCCCAAATCCAGTAGAAGAAAAGAAATAATAAAAACCAAAGCAGAAATAAATGAAATTGAAACTAAAAAAACAATCCAAAAGATCAATGAAACCAAGAGCTGGTTCTTTGAAAAAATAAATAAAATAGACAAACCCCTAGCCAGGCTCACAAAGGAAAAAAGGGAGAAAGCACAAATACACAGGATCATAAATGAAAGAGGAGAAATCACAACGGACACAGCAGAAATCAAAAGAATAATCAGTAACTACTATGAACAGTTATATGGAAACAAGTTCAACAATCTAGAGGAGATGGACAAATTCCTACAACTCTACAATCACCCAAAGCTAGATAAAGAAGAAATAGAACACCTAAACAGACCAATTACAAGCAGCGAAATTGAAATGGTAATCAAAAAACTCCCCAAAAACAAAAGCCCAGGGCCTGATGGATTTACAAATGAATTCTACCAAACATTCAGAGACGAATTAGTGCCTATCCTTCACAAACTCTTCCAAAAAATTGAGAAGGAAGGGACAATACCAAACACGTTCTATGAAGCCAATATTACACTAATACCAAAACCGAATAAGGACAACACAAAAAAGGAAAACTATAGGCCAATCTCCCTAATGAACACTGATGCAAAAATCCTCAATAAAATTTTAGCTATCAGAATCCAACAATGTATCCATAAGATAATTCACCACGACCAAGTTGGATTCATTCCAGGGGCACAAGGATGGTTTAACATCCGAAAATCAATCAACGTTATCCAACACATCAACAAAAAGAAATATAAAAACCATATGATAATATCAATAGATGCTGAGAAAGCTTTCGACAAAGTGCAACACCCATTCATGATAAAAGCCCTTGAAATTCTTGGGATACAAGGAACATACCTCAACATCATAAAGGCCATCTATGACAAGCCAACAGCCAGTATCATTCTCAATGGTGAAAAGCTGAAAGCAATTCCATTAAGATCTGGAACAAGACAAGGATGTCCACTCTCACCACTGCTTTTCAATATAATACTGGAAGTCCTAGCCAGAGCAATAAGACAAGAGAAAGACATCCAAGGAATCCAAATAGGAAAAGAAGAAGTCAAACTATCACTATTTGCAGATGATATGATAATATACATAGAGAACCCCAAAATCTCCACAGAAAAACTACTTCAACTCATCAGTCAGTTCAGTAAAGTGGCAGGATACAAAATCAACACGCAAAAGTCAGTAGCCTTCCTATACACAAACAATAAATCTGAAGAAGAAGAAATCAAAAAAACCACCCCTTTTATTATTGAAACAAAAAAAATCAAATATTTGGGAATAAATCTAACAAAAGAGGTAAAGGACCTATACAAAGAAAACTATAAAACACTGTTAAAAGAAATAGAAGAAGACACAAAGAAATGGAAAGACATCCCCTGCTCATGGATTGGAAGAATAAACATTATTAAAATGGCCATCCTACCAAAAGCGATATACAGATTCAATGCTATTCCAATCAAAATCTCAATGGCATTCTTCAAAGAAATAGAACAATTATTGATGAAATTCATATGGAATCACCAAAAACCCCAAATAGCCAAAGCTCTGCTGAAAAAAAAAGAAGGGAAAGGAGGCATCAAACTCCCAGACTTCAAACTATACTACAAAGCCATAATCATCAAAACTGCATGGTATTGGAACAAGAACAGACATACAGACCAATGGAATCGAATAGAAAATCCAGAAATAAACCCACAGATTTATGGTCAACTAATCTTTGACAAAGGAGCAGAGACTATGCATTGGAGCAAAGAAAGTTTGTTCAATAAATGGTGCTGGGAAAACTGGGTCGCTACATGCAAAAGAATGAAGCTTGACCACTACCTCACACCATACACAAAAATCAACTCAAAATGGATTAAAGAACTAGACATAAGACCTGAAACCATAAAATACATAGAAGGAAATATAGGCGAAACACTACGGGATTTGCACATCAAAGACATCTTTACAGACACATCACCCAAAGCAGTGATAGTGAAGAGAAAGATAAACAGCTGGGACTACATCAAATTAAAAAGCTTCTGCACAGCAAAAGAGACAATAACAAAAACAAAGAGAAACCCCACCAACTGGGAGAACATTTTTGCACACAACACTAATGATAAAGGACTGATCACAAAAATCTGCAAAGAGCTGATGAGACTCAGCAACAACAAAGAAAATAATCCAGTCAAAAAATGGGCAGAAGAGCTAAAAAGAAACTTCTCTGAAGAGGAAATGCAAATGGCCAACAGACATATGAAAAAATGTTCAACATCACTTGCAATCAGGGAAATGCAAATCAAAACTACCATGAGATACCATCTCACACCAGTGAGAATGGCACATATTAAAAAAACTAGCAACAACAAATGTTGGCGAGGATGTGGAGAAAAAGGAACTCTTCTGCACTGTTGGTGGGAGTGCAAACTGGTCCAACCACTATGGAGAGCTGTGTGGAGATTTCTGGACCTACTAAACATAGAGCTTCCATATGATCCAGCAATTCCACTCCTAGGTATTTACCCAAAGGACACAGAAACATCAATTACAAAGAGCACCTGCACCCCTATGTTTATAGCAGCACTGTTTACAATAGCTAAGCTTTGGAAACAACCCAAATGCCCAAAAGTAGATGACTGGATCAAGAAGATGTGGTACATATATACCATGGAATATTACTCAGCATTCAAAAAAGATAAACACATGCAATTTGCAGCAACATGGATGGCGCTGGAAGGGATCATGCTCAGCGAAATAAGCCAAAAAGAAAAAGAAAAATACCGGATGGTCTCACTCATAGCAGGAATCTAGAAAACTTAAATAAGGGACCAGGAAAATGAATATAAGAAAGTGAAAATCAAAATCAACAAAAAACTATGAACCAGAGACACTTTTTGGGGGGTGGGGGGCGGGAGGGGAAGGATTGGGGTCAGAATGGGGCGTTTGCAATTGTATGGGGGAATATAAAAATAAAATTTAAGATTAAAAAAAAAAACAAAAAACCCAAATGAGAATTAACCATAAGCCAGTGGCTTATAATAAAAAGACAGGGAAACTGGAACCTTGATACATAGTTGGTAGAAATGTAAAATGGGGCAGCCATTTTGGAAAACCATCTGGAAGTATCTCACCCAACTTTTAAGTATATACCCAAGAGAAATGAACATATATGTCCACACAAGAATTTGTACACCAGTGTTCATAGCAGCATTCACAGTAACCAAAAAAGTAGAAATGACCCAGATGTTCATCAGCTGATGAATATGTACATCAAATGTGCTACATCCATGCACTGCAATAACATTTGGTAATAAGAAAGAATGAAATACTGTTATATACTACAACACAGATGAACCTTGAAAATATGATGCTAAGTGAAAGAAGTCAGGTATAAAAGGTCATACGTTATATAATTCTACTTAAAGGAAATGTTCAGAGTAAGGAAATCTATACAGACAGAAAGTAATGATTACCTAGGTCTGGAGAGAGGATTTGGGGGAACTGCTGTGTGACTGCTAATGGGTATGGGTCTTTTTGGGAAGGACTGGGTGTTGATGAAAATGGTCAAAAATTGATGGTGAATATATTATATTCAGTACTCATACTGACTGAATATACTAAAAAAGCTGACTTGTATACTTTCTTTTTTAACAACAACAACAAAACAACAAAACTAAAGTACCAGTCTTGTAGAAAGAGGAAGGACATTTTGGATTTGGAAAAACAAAATCACCAATCTCTTTGTTGCATCATTGGCTCTCTTACAACGTCAGAGGAGGTAGCATTGGTGAAAGCTGGCCACCATCATACAAACTGGGTACAAAGTTCAATTTGGTCACTTTGGGATAGAGTTCAATCTAAGTTGATTGGATCTGGCGTCTCTGTCCTAAATCCACTCTATTCTCTGTTCAAGGTGACCTTTGGCTGTATTTTGAAAAGGAAATATTTCCTTGTTTTGGCCCAGCTAAATTCCTTTAGTTAGCAGACTTTACTTTCTGTAGAAAAAAGTGACTCCCTTCTTATGGCAAATTGACTTAGACTTCCATCAGTCACTAAGGAATTGAGCTCCATCTTTTTTTTTTTTTTAAAGATTTATTTATACAAGAACCGGGGTACAGGCCAGATGTGCGGGAGGGTGAGAGGATTCACCAGAGACAGAGCGGGGTGCAGAACAGGCGGACTGACAAAATACACTGCTGAGGGGAGCAGCGGGCGAGACAGGAGAGGTCTGCTCACCATGTGGGTTGCTCCGAGGCTGGCAGGGATGGAACCGGCGCTGCAGAGGCTGTGGATCGCTTCAGGGCGCTGCGCTCAACCACCATTGCCACCAGGGAGGCCCTTGAGCTCCATCTTTATGAGAAGTGATTTGTTGTCTAAAACCCAGGTGAAGGCAAATGGTGCTTCCTACTGTCTCTTCACAACTGATGTTACATTGTTTCATTTGCATTTGTGAACTCCAGATACACAAACACAACCAACTGTTTGGGTGATATCAGAGTTCCAGGGTGTATCAGACAGGGAATGCATTTCAGCACAGCATACAATTTTAAAATATGGTATCTCAAGAATAAATATATAGATACTAAGAGAACACAATATTGGGTTTAAATTATGGTATTAAATATATTTTATTTACTATTCTAACATTCATGATTAATCCTTTTCTCTCAGGATGACTTTCTCTGGTTCTTTTTGACTTACAAGGAGTATTGCTTAAGAAAGAAGATTGTATACCCTCAAGGAGAGAGAAGGAACAGCAGCAGTAGCAGGTAAAGTCTGAAATTTAAGGGGTTCTTAAGAGTTTTTCTTCAAAACAATGACTTCTGTATAACTTAGACAGTTACAAAATGATGACATATATTTGATCAATCATTCAACATTTATTAAGTGCCTTCAATATAGCATGAACAGAATTTAATTCTAAAATATGTTTAACTTATTTTAGCTAAATGCAAACAAACTGCACGACTTGCTAGATATTATCTACTGATTGGAAAATATTTACTCTGAGTAGACAGGATTAATAGATAACTGCTTGATAATTTCTCTCCGTATCCCCCTGGTCCCCTGACGGGTACTGGAAACAGACAAAGAGGAAGACGATGTCAATTTGGAGTCAAATCATCTATGAAGCTCAAGCATATTCCTTTGCTTGTCAATTTGCAAGTCCTTGGTCAGTTCCCAGACCTACTCTCTGGAGTAACTATTCTGTCATTTCCTTGTAAACCTTTATAACATCCTTTTCCATTCCTCATCCACTCTCAGCAGATGGCTTGTCTCACGCTGAGAACATTAATCAGGCGAGAAGTTGCTTAATCTTAATTCCTAGCTGACAAATTTATCTGCTTCTATACCTCTCTCCTCTGGCTTTAAGGCTTATATCTCCATCAGCCTTGTTGATCAGCTAGTCTCTTGGAATCATGTCTTAAGGTGGAGGATAGAGTCTTAGATCAGTGCATAGGTAAAAGTCACACATGGTCAAAATTAGTCCAATAGATTTCTGAAATCACCTACAACTGTTGATCAAATATGACTCTAGGAGTATAGTTGTGTAAAGTAATATATAGGTGCTTGTGAATTGGACAAAAGTAATATATAAGTGAGGTGTCAGGGTCACACTGTGCAAGGTATATGGTAAGGTATAGCATGTAATTCTAAAGAGGGATTACATTGAGAAAATGAATTAAGTAAGCTTTTTAGAACACTTTAGCAAATGTGTAAATATTCTGACTTCCCCTTGGTGTCACCATCCTAAGTTTTTGTAGATAACTTCATCATTTTCTCTCTAGTCCTTAGTTCTTCAGTTTCTTCTTCAAGATTCCATTATTGTCATCCCTACTCAACAATGCATTTCACTCTGTATATGTGTCTGGAGTTCCCTAAGTCATTCATACCTTCTTGGAAAGATTTCATTAAGAGTCTTTCCTAACTCATTAAGTGCGGTGATCCACTGGTATTCCAGAATTATTTATTTATTTTTAAAAAAGATTTATGTATTTATACAAGAACTGGGGTACAGGCCAGAAGTGTGGGGGGTGGTGAAAGGATTCACCAGAGACAGAGCGGGGAACAGAACAGGCGGATCCAATGAAATACACTGATGAGGGGAGCAGTGGGTGAGACAGAAGAGGTCTGCAGCACCATGTGGGTATCTCCCTGGCCAGCCAGGAATCGAACCCGCACTGCAGAGGCTGTGGACAGCTTCACAGCACTGCACTCAACCCACTGCGCCACCAGGAAGTCCTTCCAGAATTATTTAAATAATCATTTCTTTCTCTGTCTGTTTCCTCTTTCCATTAGAAGATTAAGCTTGGCCACATAATCCAAAATGTAGTGACTTCAAAAAGAAAAGTTTCTTTCTCTCACTCTTTCCCCTCCCCTCCTTCCCAATTCCCTCTCTCATTAAAAGAAATATAGAAGTGGGTTGTATTGGACTGTTTGGGTGATTCACTATACATCAGGACAGACTCAGCTCCCTCTCCCTTTGTACCCTGCCAGCCTACTTCAGGCTTCCATTCTCATTACTGCTACAGTTCCAGGCACTGCCTCTACAATCCAGAGAGCAGGCAGAAAGAAGGTGGTATTCAGGAAAATAAACCACAAGGAAGATGGTGTATTCTGCCATTGTCATACTAGAGTGTTATCAAGTTCCCCCCAAGGGCTATCACACTTGGAGAATGATTTTTTCCTTACTTTTGATTAGTTTTCAGACTCTAAAATTGTATGTCAACTTGTAAAAAAAAAAAACCAGTAAGATGCAAACGAATTTTTCTCTGGAGAGATGGTTTTATTACCTAAAAGAACATTTGTCACTTTTGTATCTAACTTAGCAGTCCTATTTCAGAACTTCTTTTCCCTTCCTGAGACAACTTTGTCATCTTGCTGGCTCCCCTCATTAATGAATCAATTACACTTTGAAGTGCTCAGATAATGTGGGAGAATTACATTTTTAACATTTATATGTTTTGACAATACAAAGGACAAAGGACTTTCTACCAGCTGAGTCAGCAGTCTCCCTAAATGTCCCACCTAAATTTTCCCCTCATATCTCATTGGCCATCTTCCTTGTACACTTAGCTGCAAGGAAGGCCCGAGAACGCAGTCTTTTAGCTAAGTGCATTGGTACCCAGATTATAATTGGGGCTCTCTTACTAAGATAAGGAGGCAGAGATCAAATCGCAGAGAGCAACTGTCTTTGCCACAAGAACACAGATACACTAATTATGCCCCGTCAAAGGAAATCTGCACCATCCCTGTTTCTCCTTTACTCTCACACTACTGTCATACTCACACTTCTGACACCAGATATGTGGGTTGTTGTTTTTTTCCACATCAAGCAATCCTGTCACACCAGCATAGTATCCTAACAATTTTACTCAATTCTGAGTCTATCTTAATATGAGATTCCACACATTAAGGACTCAGTCCCACAAGACTTGCCCCCACCAACTCTGACTTCAGATGCCAATCACAGGTTCAGGCTGTTAACTGAGCCTCTGACCGATGGGCTATAAATAGACTCCCTTTCTCGTTCAGTTAATTTGGTATAACAGCTCATAGTACTCAGGAAAAATGTTACTTACCTAGAAAACTTAAATAAGGGACCAGGAAAATGAATATAAGAAAGTGAAAATCAAAATCAACAAAAAACTATGAACCAGAGACACTTTTTGGGGGGTGGGGGGCGGGAGGGGAGGGATTGGGGTCAGAATGGGGGGTTAAAAAAAAAAAAACAGATGGGTCTTGCATTTGCAACCATCTAAAAAAAAATGTTACTTACCATTTGATAGCTTATTATAAAAATATATGATACAGGATACAAATGGGCATACAATGGAAGCGATGTCTAAGATAAGGTCTTTGGGAAGGTGCTCTGAGATTCCATGCCCTCTTTCAGGACACTGTCTCCCAACACTTCCACAGGTTTACCACCCCAAAAGTTCTCCAAATCACATACTCCAGGTATTTTTATGGAGGCTCCAACACTTAGACATGAATTATTACAACTCTCCCGTTTCTGGAGAATCAAAAGTGGAGCTGAAGATTCCAAGCTTCTAATCATGACTGATCTTTCTGGTGACCTTCCCCTATCCAGGAGCCACCAAGAGTCACCTTATTAGGATAAAGGACATTCCCATCACCCAGGAAATTCTAAAGAATTTAGGAACTAACTTTGTATAGGAACCAGAGTCAAAGACCAAATATTAGAATGAAAGATGTTTCTTGGGCTCTTATCGCTTAGGAAATAAGAAGGACTTTAGGGGCTCTGTACCAGGGACTGGGAGCAGAGACCATATAGATATTTTCCCTTAGTGTCTTTTGCTGCCTCTCCCTCTGTCTTGGCATAATTACAGCTTAAACAGCACATACAAAAGCTCCAATAGCTTAGCTCCTTGATCTCGAATCCTTCTTTAGCTGTCATGACGACATTCTCCTTTATCCTCAATCAAGGTCCTAGAAAAAATAATCTGCCATGACTCTTCTTTCTTGCCTCTTCTTCCTTCTTCAATACTTTCATCAGGCCTTTTGTTCTTCTCACACCACTAAACCTGCTTTCACAGACCTCTAAACATCAAATTCTCTTTGACAGCATCTTGTACAAAACAAATACTTGATAATTACTATTTAATAATTCAGTTTGTCAGTTGTTTTCTTAGTTATTCTAAGGACAGCATTATTTCCATTCTTGATTGCAAAAGTAATATTTTCCTATCCTTATGGACTAGCTAAGTTCTTTTGACATGTTCATGAAAATGTAATTCTCAGCATCACTTTGATTCTGAGCAACAATAATGCATTCTCACTTCCAAAAACTTGGCCTAATAGTATACTTTTGGGAAATGACCTTTTTGTAGATTTACATCTATTTTTTCAGTTCTCGCTCTATTAAAGTGGAAAAAAGAAATTGGGTTTTCTTCCTAATAACAAACTTCACTTTGTTTCCAAAGCACAACAGAATTAGTGACAAGTTGTTTACCTGGTTAACTCATAAAGGAAAATTACCCATTTTTTTAACTCCCAAAGGAAAAACACTTGCTAATATATTTTCCTCTGTTCTTGAACCTTCCTTACAATTCTTTCTTAAAACGTGGCTCTATCTTTCAAGTTCAATTTTTGTCCTAAGCTAGAGACTATGATGTCACAAATGTATCCTTTGCCCTCTGTCTCCCTCTCCCTCTTTGCCTGCTTTATGTTACAGCAGGTCTCCTCCTTGGGGAATCTAGCTGGGCCCCTGGAAGCCCAGGAGATTGAGGATTGCAGCAGGATGTAGTTACACTGCCCCAATGTGGCAGATTCAGTTCTACTTCAAACGCTGCCTCATTTTTTCTTGCATGCTTCCTTGAGAAAGCACAAATGAGGAACAGTTTCTGAGTGAGTACTTCTTAGGACATTAAGGGATGGTGGTGGGCTTTAGGGGGACCCACAGTGTTTCTTTTAGTTCTAGATTGTTTCTTTTAAGATATCAAACAATTTTCCACAATGCTTGGAACTTATTTCTACATCAAACAATAGCCTGAGAATTCTGCTTATTCCACATCCTCCTTAATACTTGGTATTTTCATTTTTGCATTCTGATGAATGTATAATGCCATCTCATAATGGTTTCAGAGGCCATTTCCTTTGTGTCTAAAGAAAGTAAGCACCTTCTCATATGTTTATTGAGCATTTGAATATTTTGTTTTGTATTTTTCTGTTAAAATCTTGTGCATACTTTCTTTTATTGGATCATCTGTGTTTTTTCTTTTTGTGTTTTGTATTCTGGATATAT